ATGAATTCCTTATATAACGCATTCTTCTTTTTACATGCATTCTGTAATCCCTTACTCATCCACGGTTTCCCACTGTAATTCCTCTTGTTTTTATACTGCTTATGAGGACAGTTCCTGTCATATACCTTCATGAATATATTTAAAAATTTGCTCATATGCTTTATCTAAGTCTTCCTCTTTGTAAACTGCTTCTCAGTCCTGCCCCCTAAAGTCCTCTTTTAGCCTCCTTACAGCATGTTCGTTCATCACCCTCCTATAAAAAAGATTTGTTTTTGGCCTCTCTTTTCTATACTGGCCCTCATAAACCAAAAATAAAGGTAAATGATCACTAATATCATTTATAAGTAATCCACTAGACATTTTGCTATCAAAATCATTAGTAAATATATTATCTATTAGTGTTGCATGCTGGGTTGTTAATCTACTTGGTTTTGTAATTTTTGGGTGTAAACTACATCTATATAATGTGTTAATAAACTCATCAGTTCCTGTGTGCTTGTTAGGATTCAACAAATCTATATTAAAGTCACCACATATGAACATTAATTTATGACTTATTGATGAGTAATTTTCTTCCAGCCAGTCATTAAATGTTTCTATACTGGCTCCAGGTGCTCTGTAGATACAGCTTATTACAACATTCTTCTTCAATTGCAGTTATGACAATACTGCAAAGTAATAGTTGTCAATAAAAAGAAGTCTGACAAGGCTGTCAGATGGTGAAACTAGCCCACTGATTAGCCAAATTTGTTTGGAAGATAGAATGATGGCGAACCCTAAAATCACCCAAGTGTTATAAACATCCACTTCAGGTTACAAATCAAACTCCTTCATTCAATTGTGACAGTACATGTCGTGCAGCGTTTTTCTGTGCATCTGGTGTTTCAGTCCCCACAGAGCAATCATTTTTCGGTTTCCCCCAGTGGTTTCAAACGTCTGACTACACAGTTGGCTTGTTTACAACCTGTCAGATCATGTTTCTGGCCCCATCTGACTTTGCTGTAGCAATGTTGTTGTATTGCCAGATCTCAGCAATCTCAGCAGAAAGGACCATTTTGGCTGCCCTTGGGTCCAGAGCTAAAAACTGGATTCATTTTCTGCATGGAAAATGGAAAGTAAGTCATAGTTGGTACACTTCCACAGCCTGGATAGGCATGACAGTCTTCTGGTTGAATCATCACTACAAATAATTAACAACACTGTGCTAAAAGATATCACTTTCTAGATTGAAAAAAATGGCACCATGTTTCTTCACAGCTACAACAATGAAGTGTTTTAAATTCAAACAATTTTCATTTGTGCCTCTTAATGCCTCCACAACATCAACAGCTGTGACATGTAAATTTAGAGCCACCCAGTACACCAGACTGCTACACAATACATGACTTCTTAGAAACTGAACTATTTCATTTTAATTCAAACTACTGGCTACAATGTAAACCTACAGGACTTTTACATTATCTGGAAAATTTAAAGTGAGACTACAGAACTTTGCAACACTTATTTTTGGCGAGTATGATGGTATCATAACAAACTGAAACAATGGCCAAGCATATGATAATTACACATCTCTTGTTGAAACAAACTAGAGTGGTGCTTATATAACATATCTATGGGTAAATCCATACTGCCTGCACATACTGTAGATACTACGCACTCTGCACTGCTGTTACTGCACTTCTGGTTAGATGCTAAACTGTATTTTGTTGCCTTGTATTTGTACATGTGTAATGACAAAGTTTAATCTAATCTAAGACCAAAAGAGTGTTCTTCACAAGCTGCAGTCCTAAAAGATTTGATAAAGTGCTTTATAGTCTGCTTTACAATCACACCGATGCTACCATATGGATGGAAGGTGTTCAGTGTGCTTCAACACCTGTTAAGGCATCAGATTACCTATTGTTGCTTCCAGGCCTACAGATAAGGTTACAACAGCTACACGCATGCAAACACAGTGGAATGTACAGTGTGATGAATACAAATACCCAGAAAGCACTTCACTGATTTACAGGATGTGGCTAAGTACATCAACAAGCCACGCTCCTTTCAGCATATGATACACATACACACAGATACATGACTGGGGTTCTGTAAGTGGGTTCAAAGTACAGTTCATCAGATTTATGGAGGACCTATACTCCCTCCTTGTTACTGGTATGTAGCGTTTGTAACTGGATTCTGTTTAATAGAGCAAATCATAAAGTAGATAAAATCACTGGCCTAGTAAGGCAGTCTGGGCTTCTGCTGCAGGACTACTACCATTACTGACAAACACAGACACACACACAAAATGTTATACATTAACAGCTTTCCCCCAGTTTATCTTGAAAGGGAATATCCCACATTATCTGACAGCAATATTTAAGATTTACCAGAAAGCAGCATTTGCAAAATACCATAAGAAATGAAGAAAAATAAAAGAAGATTAATATGAACTGGGTGAGATATGAAAGGAGTCAATGCAGCAGTTGGTTGGCACTTGTGTCACTCTGCAGCTCACTGTGCATCTTCTGTGAATCCATTTGCTTCCACAGTTCTACTGTCAGGAAGAGCACAGATGTGTCAACCAGTGAGTGAAAAACTTAAGGACATGGAGTGAAAACTGTGGTCGTGAGGACAAGTTAAGAGATAATTTCTTTTAGACCAACTCAAGAGCCTTCCCACTCTAGGTATTATTTCACCACTATAACCGCTGACACTTTCTCATCATATAGACCAATGTACACAATTTCTCATTTTCAACCATTTTACCAAGATTCAAACAAAATGGAATCTTAGGAAAAGTATGAAATTTAATCTACAGTTGGTAAACCTCACCATCAGTGAGCTGTGGGCATCCATGACCCTGTCACCAGTGCACCATTTGCCCTTCCTTAGACACTGTTGGTAGCTACTAACCACTGCAGACCAAGAACACCCACCAAGACCTGCAGTGTGGGAGATGCTCTGACCCAGTCGACAGTTGTCAAATTCACTCAGATCCTTACACCTGCCCATTTTTCCTGCTTCCAACACATCAACAAGGACTGAATGTTCACTTGCTGCCTAATATACCCCACACACTGACAGGTGGCACTGTAACAGAGAGTCAATGTTATTCAGTTCTGTCAGGATCAGAATCAGCTTTATTGGCCAGGTGCAGACAAGAATGTGCAAACAAGAAAAAAGAATGTGTAGAAAAATAAAAAAAAATAAAGTACTTATAAATCAGTGTATATCTCAGTTATGTATTTCATTCAGATGTATTATTTCTTTTACAATATATATTATTTGGTAAATAGACTGTATTTATATAGCACATTTTTCCACAGTGTGTTGCACTGGCCAAAGCGCTTTACAGGAGATGATACACCATTCACACACCGATGACGCCAGGCTGCCACACAACAGCGCTAGTCAAGCCAATGGGAGCAATTCGGGGTTCAGCGTCTTGCTCGGGGACACTTAGGCATGCGGGGAGACTGGGAGTCGAACCACCAACTTGCTGGTCAGGAGACGACTGCCCTACCTCATGAGCCACAGCCACCCCCATTATTTGATTCTTTTATGTGAGTTTCACAATGTTACAGAAATGCAGTACGAAATTGGTACTTTTAAATTGAGATTATAAATAGAAGCAATTAAAAAACAGTTCTATGGGAGCCATTACTGCTCCACAAGAAGTTGGGACAATCCATGACAGCATGCAGTAAATCCAAGTGTCTAGACTCTACACAAACTAAAAAGCTTTGCAGGAATGTTGTAACAGCACCTGTGTACTGCTTTCCTGGGGGCCTCTGTCTGCATCTTTGTTTGTGATTTAGACTCCCTGTACTACCCAAAATCCTGATTTTTGAGAATTGTACACACACACTCTGCAGCAAACAGACCTTCCCATAGTCCCTCCACTCCTCAGCTTGCTTATTTGTTTTGGTTTGTTTGGTCTTTATGCTTGTGCACTGAGCTGTGGCAGCTGCCTGGCAACAGCCAATCAGGATGCAGAGAAAGGATAGTCAGCAAATGCAAAATGCAAGTTTATTATTGCTGAAGGTAAACCTCAGACACACCCATTTCATTTGATTGGCAAATCAGAGCTTTTTGAGGGAAAGCCACAGTGAGAAAAAGAAGCATTAGAGATGGAAACAAGGCCACTGAACAGAATGTTTACTAATGTGCAAAAACATCTCACCACTACTAAGCTCAATCATATTCAATCTAACCATGACCCGGTGCTGATCTAGGCAGATTTAGACATGTGCCATATTCCTTCCATTTCTTGATGTTCATTGTCTTGGAAATCACTTTGTATCCATCCCCTGACTTATACTTTTCAGTAACTTCTTCTCTGAGTTTCTTGGAGTGTTCTTTTGTCTTCATGGTGTAATGGTAGCCAGGAATACTGATTAACCAGTGACTGGACCTTTCAAACACAGGTGTCTTTATACTACAGTCACTTGAGACACATTATATTGACCATAATTGGTTTATAAAATCAATAAAAGGGTAAAACATCCAAGGGGGTGAATACTTTTTATAGGTACTGTGCATGCAGACCTCCACCAACCATAGCTTGCCATCTCTCACCACTTGTGAGCATTACATAGGTGATCAAAAAGGAAATACCACAGACAGACATCATCAACATAATCAGAATTCTCAGTCATTAAAGAGCACTGAGGCCAGTATCACAAAAACTGACAACACAAGACAGGAAAAAAATTCTAACACGCTCATCTTTTTGTTGAAATGTCAAGCATCCTGTACTTAACGGTTGTCTACTATAAATGGACACCACACTGGATAAAACAAGCAACTGTAGCACCTGATTGTTTTCAATCCATGTGTGGTTGGTTGGGACAGCATCTTATGACACTGGCACAAGGGGTCAGCACTTCAACACTCCACAATAACTCCAGCCGATAGTCATGTGCCAACATGTACATTTGTTGTGTGTGACAAAAAAAAAAAACTGTAAAGCAAGTTGTAATGTTTCTACTTTAAAGTTCCGTTTCCTTCTGAGGTTTTGTTGGAAAATGAAGAAAAACTACATTAAAAGAGTGCATTCACTGATACACCCATTATTTCAATTCCCAGTGATAACCCTCATCCAGTCAATATAAACTAGCTTACACCATCTTTTTGTCCAAAATTTAGTAATATTTATACTTATTACATATGAAAAAAATTCAGATGTTTTTGTAATAATTTATCAATCTACAATTGAAACACTTACATTTTCAGTTTTACTTTTTCTGTAGTCTATCAAATGATTTCTCTCATTGTTAAAAAATGTTTTAAATAACCTGAATTATATTTTTAAAATGAATAACATTATTTACAGAAAAAGACATCTTGACTTGACAGCTCATAGCTAATGTTATCCAGACATGTGCCTTTTTAAACAAAACTGCTGTTTATACTGTAGCTGTGGAGTAAATGAGGACTGCCAGAATTATTTTTAGGCCCTTAACACTCTTCTTTTGCCACTGTGAGAGTTAAGTGGTTTCCCTGCTCAGTGGAAGCACAAAGCTGATGTTTTACTCAGTCTGTGAGACAAAAGTAAACAAACATCTCCAGATCAAATGGGAAAGTAAGGATGTAATATGAGTTTTAAATAAGACCTAGCAGTAAAGACATGATGGGACATAAAGAGTGAGAGGCCACTTCATGGTTCATTTGCTTACCTTGAGATCGCGGTGGACCACACCCATCTGGTGGCAGTGGAGCACAGCCTCTAGGATCTGCTGAATGCAATGACTGCATGCAAACACCAGGGGGCCATGTGTTAGTGACAAGCTACCACTCATTGTCTGTGAGCTTTGACACTCAAGAGAGTCCACTGTGTTAGTGGGAGACAGTGTGGCTGGCACCTCCCCTAGAGGCCAGAATGACAGGCAGGTTGGTGAAATGACGCAGTGTTTAAAATGATTTCTCCCCAAAGTCACCAACTGACGTTTGCTGTGATCAATCCATGAAAGAAAAAAATCACCTCTGATTTTGTCATTGTCTCAAACTCACAGAAACACAGCCAATTCTCTGCCCGAGTCTCAAAACAGAAGAAGTGTTAGCTCCTGGTCGACAGGAGGCCAGACCCTGAGAGACTGAGGAGGAAGATGCAGGATCTGAAAGAACATTTGTCTCGTCATGTGTCCTGTGCTGCAGCACTACGTCAAATTTACAAAACCGGAAATTTCTATATTTCTTTGTTGCTATTCATATCACATCCAGAAGCAGATGAATGCAGATAATGTTACCTGAAACTGATCATTTTATTGACTTGCTATATTATGATTTCAAAGTAAAACATTGAAATATTTTAGTTCAAACCTTTGTTTCTATATTAAACTGTGTTTGTGTCAAAGCCATTGCTGTGGCCCTAGTACCAGTGTAATTTGGATTTCAAATTGTCAAATATCAACACAACTGGTACTTAAAGTCACAAGGCATCCTTCTCCTCCTCTTCCCCCTCCTCTCTTAGGTCTTAGCTTCAGTGGCTGGTTTAGAGCATGTACTGAAGAGATGCTACATGCACTTGGTGCACTGACATACAGGTGAGACAGGCCATAATGAGATCATCCAGCCACCTAATACTTAATGACCTACTGCCTCATACTGTACAGTGGGTATGGAAAGTATTCAGAACTCCTTAAATTTTTCACTCTTTGTTATATTGCAGCCATATGCTAAAATCATTTAAGTTCATTTTTTTCCTCATTAATGTACACACAGCACCCCATATTGACAGAAAAACACAGAATGTTTGACATTTTTGCAGATTTATTAAAAAAGAAAAACTGAAATATCACATGGTCATAAGTATTCAGACCCTTTGCTGACACTCATATACAGTGCCTTGCGAAAGTATTCGGCCCCCTTGAACTTTGCGACCTTTTGCCACATTTCAGGCTTCAAACATAAAGATATAAAACTGTAATTTTTTGTGAAGAATCAACAACAAGTGGGACACAATCATGAAGTGGAACGAAATTTATTGGATATGTCAAACTTTTTTAACAAATAAAAAAACTGAAAAATTGGGCGTGCAAAATTATTCAGCCCCCTTAAGTTAATACTTTGTAGCGCCACCTTTTGCTGCGATTACAGCTGTAAGTCACTTGGGGTATGTCTCTATCAGTTTTGCACATCGAGAGACGGAAATTTTTGCCCATTCCTCCTTGCAAAACAGCTCGAGCTCAGTGAGGTTGGATAGAGAGCGTTTGTGAACAGCAGTTTTCAGTTCTTTCCACAGATTCTCAATTGGATTCAGGTCTGGACTTTGACTTGGCCATTCTAACACCTGGATATGTTTATTTGTGAACCATTCCATTGTAGATTTTGCTTTATGTTTTGGATCATTGTCTTGTTGGAAGACAAATCTCCGTCCCAGTCTCAGGTCTTTTGCAGACTCCATCAGGTTTCCTTCCAAAATGGTCCTGTATTTGGCTCCATCCATCTTCCCATCAATTTTAACCATCTTCCCGGTCCCTGCTGAAGAAAAGCAGGCCCAAACCATGATGCTGCCACCACCATGTTTGACAGTGGGGATGGTGTGTTCAGGGTGATGAGCTGTGTTGCTTTTACGCCAAACATAACGTTTTGCATTGTTGCCAAAAAGTTCGATTTTGGTTTCATCTGACCAGAGCACCTTCTTCCACATGTTTGGTGTGTCTCCCAGGTGGCTTGTGGCAAACTTTAAACGACACTTTTTATGGATATCTTTAAGAAATGGCTTTCTTCTTGCCACTCTTCCATAAAGGCCAGATTTGTGCAGTATACGACTGATTGTTGTCCTATGGACAGAGTCTCCCACCTCAGCTGTAGATCTCTGCAGTTCATCCAGAGTGATCATGGGCCTCTTGGCTGCATCTCTGATCAGTCTTCTCCTTGTATGAGCTGAAAGTTTAGAGGGACGGCCAGGTCTTGGTAGATTTGCAGTGGTCTGATACTCCTTCCATTTCAATATTATCACTTGCACAGTGCTCCTTGGGATGTTTAAAGCTTGGGAAATCTTTTTGTATCCAAATCCGGCTTTAAACTTCTCCACAACAGTATCTCGGACCTGCCTGGTGTGTTCCTTGTTCTTCATGATGCTCTCTGCGCTTTAAACGGACCTCTGAGACTATCACAGTGCAGGTGCATTTATACGGAGACTTGATTACACACAGGTGGATTCTATTTATCATCATTAGTCATTTAGGTCAACATTGGATCATTCAGAGATCCTCACTGAACTTCTGGAGAGAGTTTGCTGCACTGAAAGTAAAGGGGCTGAATAATTTTGCACGCCCAATTATTCAGTTTTTTATTTGTTAAAAAAGTTTGAAATATCCAATAAATTTCGTTCCACTTCATGATTGTGTCCCACTTGTTGTTGATTCTTCACAAAAAATTACAGTTTTATATCTTTATGTTTGAAGCCTGAAATGTGGCAAAAGGTCGCAAAGTTCAAGGGGGCCGAATACTTTCGCAAGGCACTGTATAAAGCACTTGAACACAGCCGAGGCCAACAAAGTGCTTAACATAAGATACAATTCAAAACATCTAAAAACGTGACAACTACAATATTAAAATACCAATAAAATAACATAAAAGAACCAACATAGCAAAATAACAAAATACTATCAACCAAAACTCAGCCCAAACAGAGTCTCATAGCATATCAAACGCCAAAGCATACAAGTGAGTCTTCAAGTAAGTTTTAAAAATAGCCAACGAGGCGGCCTGCCTGATGTAAAGGGGCAGCGCATTCCATAGCTTAGGAGCCACAATGGAAAACGCTCTGTCCCCTCTGAGTTTACGCCTGGCCCACGGTACCTCAAGCAAGAGCTGGTCAGCTGATCTGAGGCACCGAGAGGGACTATAAGGAAATAAAAGCTCAGCAAGATACAATGGAGCAAGACCATTCAAAGACTTAAAAACAAATAAAAGAATCTTAAAATGAATCCTGAAAGACACTGGAAGCCAATGAAGGGATGCCAAAAT